AGTACTACCAGTGTCAAGAGACCTGGTTTATGCCCCTGTTGCCGAAAGGGACATCATTGAGCCAATGACAGCCACTCTAAAACTGACCAGGAGGGAAATTTCCTTCCTGCTAATAATAATCAGGGAAACTGGAGGATGGCCCCACACTAGGACCCCAAAACCAATGTGTACGGGGCAATGACCCCTGCTCCGGGCAGTGGCAGGATTCATTTTCTCCCCCAGAGCAACCCCTTCATATCTCAGACCTTCTTAGAGCCACCTCAGGGAGTGCAGGATTGGACTTCGGTCCCTCTGGCAGGGCAATCCTTACACCTGAAATGGGGACCCAGGCCCTCCCTACTAGGGTGCATGGGCCATTGCCCCCAGGCATGGTCAGAATACTCTTGGGACAGTCCAGTACTATTCTTCGAGGTATCCAGTTACACCCCGGTGTTATAGACCAGGATAGTGAGGGAGAGATTAAAATAATGACATCAGTGGGCAGTGGGGTTGTTGCCATCCCAGCAGGAGAACGGATTGCTCAGTTACTCCTCTTCCCTACAGCTCCTTGTGAGGCTAGAAAAATTAAAGAGAAAAGGGGCAGCCAAGGTTTTGGAAGTACTGGCCCAGCAGCATTTTGGGTAGCCACTATGGAGAACCGCCCCCAGCTTACATTAAGGATAGAAGGCAAGTCCTTCAAAGGCATCTTAGATTCTGGAGAGGACATTTCTGTCCTCTCAGATAAATTTTGGCCCCCCCACCTGGCCGAAAGAGGAAGGGACAGTGACCCTCCAGGGAATAGGACAGGCTGTGCCACAAAAAAGCCTCAGATTCCTATAGTGGCAAGACTTTGAGAGCCACCCAGGGCTTTTTCAGCCATATGTTTTGTCTGGCCTTCCTATTAACCTCTGGGGATGGGACCTCATGCAAGAAATGGGAGTGGTCTTCACCACCCAGGTACCCAAGTCCAAAAGCAGGGGCCCCCAGATGATGCAAGGGATGGGCTAGAGTCTGAGGAGGGGACTAGGTAAATTAGAACAGGGAGAGGTTTGCCCAGTGGCATCCCTTCCTTTGGAGACCAGGGCCCCAGGGGATAGGAAGGGTTTTGGTCATTTTTGATGAGGGTCACTGTTGCGCCCCTAGCCCCCATACCCATCACATGGCTATCGGATGATGCAGTATGGGTGGAACAATGGCCCTTACCAGCAGAGAAACTTTGGGCGGCTCACCAGCTAGTTCAAGAACAATTGGAGGCGGGTCATTTGGTTCCTTCCATGTCCCCTTGGAATACCCCGATATTTGTAATTAAAAAATCTTCAGGGAAATGGAGGTTACTACAAGACTTGAGGGCCGTGAATGCGACCATGCAGCCTATGGGGGCTCTACAGCCTGGCTTGCCCGTGCCTGTGGCCATTCCTAAAGACTGGCATTTGATTGTCATTGACTTGAAGGATTGCTTCTTTTCTATTCCCTTGCATTCTCAAGATAGTCCTGGGTTTGCGCTTAGCCTTCCTGCGATTAACTTTAGGGAGCCTGCCCTTCGCTTCCAATGGGTGGTGCTCCCCCAAGGGATGGCTAACAGTCCAACTATATGCCAGATTTATGTAGCTACCTGTTTAGATCCCTTCAGATGTGAGTTCCCTGATGTTTACATTATCCACTACATGGATGATATTCTTTTGGCCGCGGCCGAAGAAAGACAATGTTACATAGCCTTTGCAGAGCTACAGGAGCTTCTGGAGGCCCGTGGATTTATTTTGGCTCCTGAAAAGATCCAAAAGAGACCCCCTTATACTTATTTGGTTCATCAAATTCGATAAACTGGCCTCTGGCCACAAAGACCCCAAATAGATTGTTCAAATTTAAAAACGCTTCATGATTGGCAGAGATTTTTGGGAGAGGTGCAGTGGTTTCGCCCTTCTCTTTCTATTAAAACAGGGGCTCTTAAAGCCCTTTATGATATTCTTCATGGGGATCCTGCTCCAACTTCCCCTAGACAGATTACCCCAGAGGCCAGGGATGCCCTACAATTGTTGTTAAAAAGTATAGAGCAAGTCCACCTTTGGCGCATAGATTATGGGCAGCCCCTTGTTCTGGTTGTACTTTCATCTAGCTTTTCACCCACTGCCATGTTTTGGCAGACTGGTCCTATTTATTGGATACATTTGTCAGCCTCCCCTAAGAAGGTAGTGGCCCCTTACTATGATCTGATTTTGCAATTGTTGTGGAAGGCGCACAAGTTTATCATCTACACCTTTGGAAACAGTCCTGATAAAATTATCCTTCCTTATGGTAAGGAGGAGGTGGAATATCTATAGATCTTCCATGATGGGTGGACCCTGTTTATTACATCTACAGGCACCCAGTTTGATAACCATTATCCCAATAGCCCCTTGATGCCTTTTTTTAAACAACACCCTGTGATTTTTCCCAAGATTTTAAAGGAGAACCCTCTAGTTGTAGCTCGCTCAGTCTTTACAGACAGATCCTCCAAGGGTTTCGCGGTGGTGGTTTCTTCTCAGGTGCAGAAGAGGGTACCCATACGGCAGATGTCAGCACAAGCCACCAAGTTGTTTGCTTGCTGAAGACTAGGGTCTTATTCACTCAGGAGCAGCTTTCCCACCAGCTCCATGAGCGGTATCATCTAAATGCCTGCTCCATTAAATTTCACACTGCGTGCCCCTTATCCATAGCTACACAGATTACCTCTCAGTGCCCTGATTGTGCCCCTTATCATAATTCTCCCAATGAGGGGATAAATCTCCAGGGCCTCAGGGCCAACCATCTCTGGCAAATGGATGTCACTCACCTGCCGCAGGCAGGGAAATTAAAATACATGCATGTCTCAGTGGTTACATATTCTAAATTGATTTTTGCCTCTCTCCACTCAGGAGAGAAGATTAAAGATGTTTTTTTCTCATTACCTGCAGGCCTTTGCCTACATGGGCATTCCCGATGCCCTAAAAACGGACAATGGCCCTGCCTATGCCAGCAATCGCTTTGCTGCCTTTTGCAGGGAACATTACATTGTACACTCTTTTGGTATTCCTCACAACCCCACGGGACAGGCTATTGTGGAGCGCACCCATGCCACTCTCAAACAATATTTTAAGAAAATAAAAAGGGGGATTATGTTACCTTCCCCAATATTCACTTATCCACCATACTTTACATTTTAAATTTTTTGACCATAGACCATAATAATTTGTCTGCTATGGAGAGACATTGGAACAAATCCTCCCAGTATTTGGGATGTGTCAGATGGAAGGATTTGATTACAGGATAATGGCAGCCACCCAATACCTACTAGCTAGGGTCTGAGGGGCTGTTTGTGTTTTCCCTCCAGGAAGTGAGAAGCCCATTTGGGTCCCTGAACGGTGCATCAGGCATGTCGATCCCAATACTACTCCAGATACTAGGAATGCTCACCATGATAAAGATGATCCAACCATTGCTGAACACTCAGGTAAGGGAAATATGGGCGCTGGTGAGGATCCCACCCATGTTGATGCTAGTTAGTCATTCCAGTTCCCTGTTCCTCAATTTTTATAGCACCAATAATACATTGGGAGCTGCTGCTGCCAATGAGAGATTAAAAAGTCAGAAACTAAGCATTCTGAGTTTCCCCCTCCTAAAGGGGAATCTCTGTTTTATTAAAAAATATTTAATTTCTCCTAGATTAAATCTCTAGGCCTTAGCCTGACACTCACCAAGGTTGGGAAAGAGGGGAACCCGAGAGATTGCCCTCAGTTGGAGGGTGGACTATGTAAATCTTAAGGCTTTTTGCCTGAGGGAACATCCTGGGTTGGAGGATGGATTGAAAATGGGTGAATAGCCGGGCGTTGGTGGCACAAGCCTTTAATCCCAGCACTCGGGAGGCACAGGCAGGCAGATCTCTTGAGTTCAACGCCAGCCTGATCTACAGAGAAACTTTCAGGACAGCCTCCAAACAATACAGAGAAACCCTGTCTCAAAAAAATGGGTGAATCAAAAAAATTGGTAATAGTAAAAAGGTAATGTATTAAGTAAAGAAAAAGACAAAGGTATATAAAATGGAAAATTCTGTTTGCATTTAAGTTCTATTTTGTGAGTCATCTCTAAAAACTTTTGGCCAAAAGCCTGGCCTCTCCACCTTGCATCTACAGAGTTACAAGGAGTAGGTATGGCTGTACCCCATGACTGTAGCTCAAATGGAGGAATGATGAAGGGCATACAGGACTTTTTAACCTTTTTAGTTCAAGGATAGGCTGGAGTTGTTCTTTTACATAGATTTCAATTAAGGAAGTTTCATTTCAACAGACTACTCATGACCTAGGGAAAAAGGATGACCGAAACATGCATGTATGTTCTGAATGTATGGTGTGGCCACACCGGTATATATGAAATGTGGTTGTGAATGCGTGAGTGTGAACTGCTTATATGATTAAAAGGATACTTAAATCCCTTCAAAAATAGTTAAAAAGCTACCTAAATTGCTTTAGATATAGCCAAAAGGATCATCCAGCCAATCTGTTAATGTTTTAACAGGAAATTTAAGATGCAAATGAGGCCTTGTCAACTAGTGAGAGCTCTACAGGTTAGATTGGGAAAGACTGTTCACAGACTTCAAATAATTTTCAAAAGTTATTTGGGACACAGTATAGGTTACAATCTTTGAGTGATTTTCAGAAGTTTTTGGGAAATACCTAATGGATATGTCCTTTTTAAAGAGCATCTACTAATATTCTAGATAGTGATCCCAATTCTCCTAGATAGTTAACCAAGGAGGGTAGACAAATCCTTCTACTGTTATGGTCCAGCTTCAACAGTTCAAACAAAATTTAGAAAATAAAAAAAGGGTAGTAATGTCCCCAGTCCCCACATGACTCATCAAATAATACACTCCTCATTTAAAAATGCTTCAGACAGATTCTGGCATGATGGAACTTGCTCAGGTCAAATTGAGACATCCATGCACTAGATTGTAAACTTTATCACTGTTTTGACCATCAAATTGTAACTGTAAATCACATGCAGGTTACCTTGTAACAGGAAGGCTGGTAGAATGTTATGGCCCAGATCTGGTGATGGGTACGTTGATGGAGAGGCGCTATGTCAATGGGGTCCTGGAAATGGTGGCAGTGGCGGTAGGCATTCTGGCTTTATGCCGAGCTCAAACGTGCCTTGTTCCAGAGGCAAGAGATCTGTAATCAAGTATTGCTTAGCTTAGCCCATGGCAATCCCAATAGCCATGAAGGTTGGTTACAGATGATTTAAGGATGAGGTTCTTCCATTGACGGACAACCTGTGGGGAAGACACCTCCCTCCTAAGACAGGGGTCACAAGGTCCCCCAAAGATGGGCAAGGGAGGGTGTCTCTACTTGACCTAAGCCAGGCGTGCCTCATTAGAAAATATAAAAGGGGGAATTGTGGGGACACCAGACCTTGAGCAGAGACCCACTTCCCCATCAGCCTGGGAGTAGGCAGCTGTAAGACAATGTTTACTAAAAACATGTTTACTAAAAACAATACAATGCCCAGGGCAATAAGTTCCTGAAAAGGGCTGGCCCATCGGAACTGCCCTGACCTCGACCCTTTCCAAATACTAACCGCCTCTTCTGACCCACCCAAGTCAGTTTTCTGGTGTCAGAGAAGAACCAGCCAGGGGGAAGGAGAGAGCAGAAGTTTTTCTGGAGGGAGTCCTTTCTTGGGAAGTTTTCTTGAGCCTTTTTGGGGCCTGCTTAAAGTTTTCTTTACATCGTTGACTGGCCTCTGTGTCATCAGTCCGACACCCTCCGCACATTCTCGGATACAGGCTGTGCAGCGGGCATGGCATATTTCTATTTTTTTTTCGAGACAGGGTTTCTCTGTATTGTTTTGGGGGCTGTCCTTGAACTCGCTCTGTAGACCAGGCTTGCCTTGAACTCACAAGAGACCTGCCTGCCTCTGCCTCCCGAGTGCTGAGATTGAAGGCGTGTGCCACCAATGCCCGGCTATATTTCTATTCTTGTTTAAGTTATTGTACCTATGAAGCTTATTTAAAATGTAATATAAAGTTTTAGTACTTAAAAATATTTAGGATAATAAACAAATACAGGTTAGTAGCCAGCCACCTATAATTGTTGACAAACTTGTAGTCTTGTTAGATATATTTTCAAGGTTGAAAAGATATATTTTAAATAGGTAGGTCTTCCAAGACCTAAAAATACGGCATTTAAGATGTTTTTAATAACATATATTCATATATTTGAATGCTTAGTCATCAGGGGGTGACACTATTAAAATGAATTAAAAGTATTAGGAGGTGTGGTCTTGTTGGAGGAAGTATGTCACTTTATTACGGGTGGTTTTTGAGGGTTCAAAGTCCATTCCAAGGCCAGTATCTCTGTTACTTCCTATGCATCTGTGTAATGTGCATACTTCCCACCAGCCTGGTCGCTGAGAGGTATAAGTCCCAAATGAACATGCAGAATGCTACATTAGTTATGAAGCTGTTGGCCTTTTGCTATGGTTTCTCATTGGCTAGCTCTGATTTAATTATTAACCCATAACCACTAATTTGAGTATTTCCACGTGGTCTTCTATTACCAGAGAAAGGGTGCAGATCTCTTACTCCTCTGCTGTCTTACATGGTGACTGACTGTTTCTCCGTTTCCCAGAATCCTCCACCTCTGCTACTCCCACCTATCTTGCTTCCCTATTTGTCAACAGTGCTCTATTTATCAACCAATAGGACAAACATACACAAAAGGACTTCCCCCATCACATCTGGATTTAGCACTTAACGATGACTCCAGTGCCTGCTGCTACACTCCCTTCCATGATGATAAATGACTCACCTTTTGAAACTGTAAGCAAGCCCCAATGACATGCTTTCTCTTATAATAGCTGCCTTGGTCATGGTGTTTCTCCATAGCATTAGAACAGTGGCTAAGACAGCCTCTGATGAGCAGAGTAATCAGGTTGTTCATAGCTGCTTCTGATTGGTTCCAGCAGACGTCGGGAACTGTGGGCTGTACATCAAACAGGCATCTTTCCTTCCTCAGATCCATGGCCATATAAACCATTCAGATGAAACTTCTCAGTGGTGGGAGAGAGAATAGGCGGCACACTAGGTACTCACTGAGTGTGGACTATTTACCTAGATAAGTTACTTGTACCTAATATCTATCTCAGATCTATCATCTTTCTGTACACATACACAGTGATAACATCTTAAAATATTTATTATCATTACTAGTGTGCATTTGTGTGTGTGTGTGTGTGTGTGTGTGTGTGTGTGTACAGAAAGATGATAGTGCATGGAGATCAAAAGACGATATATGGAATATAGAAATTGGTTTCCTCCTTAGGGATCAAACTCAGGTTATCAGGCTTGTTTACAAGTTTCTGTATTTGCTGAGCATTGTCACTAGTTCATGCTAGTAACATGAGGCAGGCCAGTGCATGTCATCATTTGATTAAGGCTTGGCTGAAGATACCTGAGCATATGGTGGTACAATTGATAAGATAGCACTCAATCATAATCTTACATGGAAAATTTGCCTGGTCAGTTGGTGTCCCATGGTGAACTTTCTAGCAAACCAAAGCTATCTATTTTTCTAGATAGATTTTGACGAGTGTGTGTTAGCTTCTGAGTCTCTTGATGCACAGTAGACAAATAGCCTTTTTAGTCTGTGATAACCAGCTCAACCTCAGGTCTTAGAAATCTTTACAAACCCAATTGTCTCTGTAATGCCTCTGCCCAGAGGCAAGAAGCCAAAGCTGGTTCCCAGGTGTGAACTCCCAGTTCTCATCCCAACAAGGGTTGCTTCCCTATTCCTAATTGGAAGAGGAAATGAGGAAGGTTGGTTGTGTAGAGTGGCTGAAACCTATTCCCCACAGATGTAGTTAATAATTTGTTTTCATCTATAGTTGGTAGGAAATGGACAAACTGTATTAATGATCTAACCTTACAAAGGTAACCAACAGAAAAAGCTTAAATTGACATATATATTGACAATCATATATATATGATTGTAGAGAATTGGTGAATTGGTGTAAAACAATAAATATCCATGTATATCATGGCAATAAGCAAATAAAAGATGTCTAAATTGTATAAACATTATTAGAACAGAACTGAGTCTCCGTAAATCCTTGTATTCCTGGTCAATTGATTTTGACAATTAGCCAGAATAATTCTGAAGGCAAAGAATAGCCTTTTTTTAAAAACAGAGTTTTGATATGTTGCCTATGGTATCCCAGCCTGGCTTTACTTGTAACCCTCCCTTTGCAGTCTCCTGAGCACTGGGATCACCACTCCAGCCACAACAGTCTTTTCAGTGATTGGTGCTATGATTACTGCATATCTAAATCAAAGGAGATAGTGGAAACTTTCCTTCATCATATGCAAAAAGTAACTGATAACTGATAGTAGTCTAAAATGGAGAACGATAAACTATGAAAACACTAAGAAACACAGGTACAAAACCTCCTGTTTCAGATTAGTTAGTGGATTCTTAGACCTGTTATCAAAAGCAAACCAAAAGCCCTAGATACAACTTCAACAGAACCATGGTCTGTCCGGGCTGCCATGACAGATCACCGCATACATGCTGGATTTGTTCCTCACAGGTCTGGAAGCTGAAAGTCTAAGAGTGACCATAGAGGACTCATTGTCTGTTAAGGAACTGCTTCCTGTTCACAGACAACTGTCCTCACAATGCTAGAAAGCAGGTGCTTTAGGAGGCTTCTTTTAGGAGGCCAATAATCCCAAGTGAAGGCAATTCCCTCATGACCAAATCACCTCACAGAGCTCCATGATATGATCACATGGGAGGGTAGGATGTTGGAATATAAAAGGAAGGGAGGAGCACATTTAGTATATAGAGACACATTCACAAACACACAAATGTATGTGCACATGTGATGTTGTTTTCACTATGACCAGCAGAAGCAGCCTAAGGAAGGGTTTCTTTGGGTTGACCGTTCAAGGGAATAAAGTCTGTAATGGCGAGGAAGGCATGTCATCAAGAATGTCCAGTACTGGCCACATTGTATCCTCATTGAGGAAGCAGAGAGCACAGGCAAAAAGTGATGCTGAACTATGAAACCTCAAGGCTTGCTTCTAGTGACCAGGTCCTGAAAGTTCCCCAACCTTCCAGCATAGCACCGAAATGAGGCCTGGTGTTGAAACACACGAGCCCATTTCACATCAAACCACCGCAAGGAAGACTCAGCTTCTGACGAGGCATGTGTGAGCCTAAGTGACCACTGGAGCGAGCAGAGCTGTTGCTCCCCTTGTGTTCCCAGTTGGTGAGTGTGACACCGGGGTGCAGAGTGTCACTGAAAACAGAGGGATAGTTGAACAGCAGCCGTGCCTCTGCCCCCACAAACTCCATGGCCTTACAAGGAATGACACAAGGCATTTTTCATGTACTCAGACACCTTGTCATGAGTTACTCAGACCTGGTAAGGACACAATCAGTGCACGGTCTCGTAGGAGTGGTCAGAGACTCATGTTTCCTGATTGTCATTGTTTCCAGATCTAGATTGTTCTAAATATTCCTCATTCTGTCAGACAGCCAGATAGCCATTTGAATTCAGCTGCAGCATGCCTGTGAATTTCTGTCCTTGGTCACCACACAACAAATGAGATTCTTGTCTCTGGAGGATGTTCTTTTCTTTTTTTAAATGTGTTTAACGCTTGATGAACTTCAGACTTTTTGAAATCAGAGTGTTGTCATACTATAAACCTGTCCCCTGACTGAGTAACACTGGCATGCTGGGGTCTCTTCTGCAGTGACAGTAATTCCTGGAAATACAGAAGGAGGCACCACATTGAGCAAAGACCTCTGGTAAATGCACAGCTGCAGTGCTCTCATTGATGAAGGCCTTGAGAAGGTCTTTGTTTTGTCCTTATTTCTTGAGGAGTTTTGCTTGTTTGTTCTTTTTTTTCCTAAGAGGGGCATTGTGGTTTGAATGAAAATAGCCCCCATAGGCCCATAGGGGTGGCATTATTAGGAGGTGTGGTCTTGTTGGAGAAAGTATGGGCTTTGAGGTTTCAGATGCTCAAGCCAGGCCCAGTGCCATTCTCTCTTCCTGCTGCCTGCTAATCCAGATCTAGAACTCTCAGCTACCTCTTCAGCACCATGTTTGCCTGCATGCTGCCATGCTTCCCTCCATGACGATGATAGACTAAGCCTCTAAACTGTAGGCCAACCCCAATCAAACCTTTTTCTTTCTAAGAGTTTCTGTGGCCATGGTGTCTGTTTACAGCACTATAAACCCTAAGGAACACAGGCATTTACAGCAAGTACTGCCTTGAGATCAAGGGACACAGTGACTTTAACCAAGCCTATGCTGTGGGTGATGATATCTATCCTGTAATCTTTTCAAGTACTTATAATGATTTTTCCAGCCATTTTTGATACTCATGTATCCTGTTTTTTTTCCAACTCTAAAATCCTACCCAAAGAAATGTGAATCTGTGGGAAATTTTCACAGAATTCAACAATGGGAAAGCTTGAAACTGGTTGATTAATGTGAATTGATTGATGTACTTGATTTCCTAACCATTACTCAACTGAGCTTAATATCTTCAGCCTTTATAAATACACTGAGCTGTGTGTTTTCCTTTGCTGCAAGCAGCAATATCAGAATTCTTTGAGGTCACACACTATGTGGCAGGGAGCTCCATCAGGGACACACTCTCCATTAGGTGTGGTATTCTCAGCCTATCATAAAATATGTCAGTTAAAAATAGCTCTAGCTAAGGGCTGTCCAAATGACATATGTAAAAGAGGAAAGGTAGTCAAACACCCAGGGGGAGGAATGCCCTAGGCAGAGGCTTGCCGAGGGTGGCTGCCTCCCACCTCCCTTTGTTATTCCCTCAGCCTTCACAACTGAGTTATTTTCAGAATGTGATCCTGTAAATTGATGTCTCACTGCTGCTTTCAGCCTTCTTCATGTCACCTGTTAAAAAGCTAAGCCTACCAGTAGCCAGCATGTTTACGGTAGATATTTTTGTACTTTGTGCTACACATGACCCCAGATCAATACTTCATACCAGCAAAATCCAGCCTCTAAGCATATGTCTGGAAGCAAGATGTCAACAGGTCTCTTAGCATCTGCCGTTGTGGTGCTTGTCCACAGAGCTGTAGGGTGACAATGGCCCTCTATATCCTTTAGAGCTGGGAGGGATTCATTCAGATGCAGGGCTTCTTTCCTTGGGGCAGTGTTACGAGCAGATGTTTGCGACCAATGGCAGCCACAGGAATTTCCAGCTTCTTGAGTCCCAGTAGAAAGAACTAGACCAGGGATACACAGACTTGTAGAAGCAGAGAGAGTTTACTAAGCAAAGGAGCCCTTCTAAGATAAGGCAGAGCCAAGACAAAGGGTCAGTGACTGCTATTCTCAGCAGACTGGGACCTTCATTAAGAACTTTCTTTAACATCGTTACATAGGAACCTCAATGGGTGAAGTTTTCAGTCCACCCCCACTCAACTCTCTCCCACCGCCCCTTGGTTTCTTTTATATCCTCTTTTTACTTAACTTTTCACCTTACCCTTCTTTCACAAATTCTTGCCAAAATGAGCTGTACTCCCAACTTTGTTTTTTGTTGTCTGTTTGTTTCATTTGGTTTCTTTTTTGTGGATTAAGGATGATGACCAGTCTGCTGTAACTTCATCTACAGCTCAATCTAAAAGACACCAAGAAACTCTCTTCTTGCTCTCCTGTTGGTTGGAAAGGAGGCTTTGGATCCCATGTCTACCACAAGGACAGGTTTAGTTTGAAGCTGACATATCCTAGAAGACACAAATTTTACAAGAATACAAAGTCTGAGCAAGGATAGCATGATACCAACCAGGGGCCTCAGAAAACTAGGACCATCATAACCAGTTGTCCCTGGAGAGCTATTTTTTCATATCTTGCTCTCCAGGATGAGATCCCTTATATTGTAAGCAAACAAAAAATGAACAAAAAAGCAAAACCCAGTTCAACTCCTTTGATGGCTACATTGTGAGAATGTAGCAAATACAGAAGAATAATTTTAAGAGGAAATTCCATGGTACAACAGATTAAGAGGGAAATAGTATGAGTTTGTAATCATTGACACCAACATGTCCAGTAGAAAAATAATGAAGTAAACAGAACATAAAGTAAGCTGTCAGTTACCCATAGATTTATAAATAGGACTTTTTTTTGTATTTAGGAAATTAAGGCATATTTTTTCTTGTTTGGAGAGACTTTTTAAGTCTTTTAGCATATCAGGTATAAGGCAATTAAGAGGCTCTTGAGGCTATAGAGACTCATAAAGTATTCTAGGGAATAAATTATGGAGGGTTTGTAAGTGCATGTAAAGATGGAGTAGGTTCTTCTGAGATGGTGTCAGTGAACATCAGACTACAAAAAAAAAAGTATGAGTAACATTTAGTCATCAATCTCTTTTTAGAATGTTCCTGGCCTGTGTGCCAAATAAAAGAAGGCTGTCCTTTTAGCTTTATGCATCAGTATTTTGGGTAGAATCTAGCTGGAGAAGTAAGTTACAGCTCTAGGAGTGCCCCTTAACTTTTGGTGAGAACTTCCAATTTTATTCCTTTTTTTTTTAATATGTGTAGAGTGACCCCCCAAGGAGAAGGCTGATGGCAGTAACTCTTTCAACTCTTGAGCATTACCACATAAACTCACTTAATAAGGGGTCCTGGGTTACTGATTAAAGCAAATAAAGAAGCTTCATGACTAGAAAGAAAATTAAGATTGTTACATATCACACAAAGTGCTACCCAAGATGCCTTAACGGCCATCTGTTATTACTTGACATGAGCAGTAGCCATCATTGAAACCGAAGGCCCATTGACTCAGGGAACAATGTAACATCTCTTGACAGTGTTTTCTCTCATTGCAGAAGGGAACCTCATTTCTTAGGTCCTTAGGAGGGCAATTCTTCTCTTCAGTGTCCTGGTGTTACCTAGCTTTGGCAAAAACTACCCCTTTAGAATCCTCTTTCTTGGGCCTGGATTTTCCCTCAGGTATAGGTTGCCATATGTTTGAGAAACTCACTAATTCCAGGAAAGGTTATAAGTCAGGTTTGTTCTTGTATCTGGTGATTTCCCTCGTGTCTTTTGGATAGCTTCTGCTTTATCTCTGTTTTAAGAACCTCAAAATTCAAAATTAAAGTTAACTCACTATGTCTGGAGTCCCATTACCTCTTTTTGCAGCTTCCTCTTGAGGTCTGGAGCAAACTGACTTGTGATGGTTTCTCACCTTGTATTCTTGCTGAGGCCATTCCAGGTTTAACTATAATCTGATCTCCTTGATGGAGAATCCCATGGAAAATTACCAAGATCTATTCTAGGAGCCAGCTAACTTAGCTTTTGTTAAAACTATCTGTGCAGAATACCTCCAACAAACTGCTTACCTTTGCAAAGCAAGCCCCCAAGCTCCCCTGTAGTTACCAAATGAGATGCCAGGACATGGTTTCTGCCTTTAAAAAACCCATGTTATGCATACTTAGGGAGTAAATCAGGTCCCTGAACACTTGGGTGTTGTGGAATAGAATATTTGTTTAACTTTGTAAAGATGTGTTGCAGTTGTTTATGCTGCATTTGTTTAACTATGTAAAGGTGTGTTGTTTGGCCTGCCTAAAGCACATGATTGGTCTAATAAAAAGCTGAATGGCCAATAGCTAGGCAGAGAAATGATAGAGAGGGATGGTGGTCAGAAAGAATAATAGTAGGAGGGGGAATTTAAGCTCGAGGAGAGAAGAAGGAATAAGGGAGAAAGAGAGGGAGATGGCCAGGGCCAGCCAGTCAGGCAACCATCATCCAGTCAGACGGGGAAGAAGCAAGAAAAGTAGGACATATAGAATGAAGTAAAGATAAAAAACCTCAAGGCAAAACGTAGAATAAGAGAACAGGTTGATTTAGTTGTAAGAGTTAGTGGGACAAGTATAAGCTAAGACTGAGTATTCATAACCCCATGTCACGTTTTGGGGGCTGGTGGTCTGAGAAAGCCTGCTACTCTTGGGTGTGCTGGCTGGAATAAAGACTTCCAATTGACGATACACTGTGTCTGAGTGTAACATCTTAGAGACTCCAGTAAGATCCCAAAGACTGGACCATGATACTTAGGATCCCCAGGAGCAGGGCAGAAATGCACTAGGCAGAGAGGAGTTTTAGGGGACATGAGACCTGGGACATTCAAGGATCCCAAGGAAATTCTCTCTAACCAATAACTTCTGAGCTCTCCAAAGGCATGCCAACACCACCACCAGAAGATTGAATCAAAACTTATTTGGTCTATATACCTTTGGAGATAAGTTCAGTCTGTAGAAGGCACCATTTGAATAGGACACAGGAAGGGGTGCATCGAATGCAAATGTAGATGTTGTGTCTGGGGTCTGTGTGAAGCATCAACAAAACCCCTTGGCTTGTTGAATGAATGAGTGCTTGGTGGCCACCTGTTATTGTCTGGTCATTAATGTCTGTGTCTGTGTCGCTTGTCTTTGCCTCTTTAAGTCAGGCAATCACTTGGGCTGCCCTAGAATCTTTCTAATTCTTTCAGAAGGCCTTCTCAGGTGGGGATTGTTTGGTACTTATTTCTCCCCAGGAAGACACCACACATTTTGTAAACATGAGTGGCCCTCTTATGAGGTAGGATAGCTTCATGAAGAGATCTTTGGATCCCCAGGCAGCCAGGGCAGTCTGGAATGTCATGACAAGCTCTTCCAGCCATCCCTATCAGCTCCCTATCCCAAACCATTGGCTAACCCTGCTCTTAATCCACCCCCAATGGTTGAAAACTTGTGCTCTTTCTTTGGAAGTTGGTGTTCTTTTGGTCCAGCTGGAACACTCAGAAAAGCAGAGAGTACCTCAGGTTCTCCCTGCTTCATTTCCCTCCTTATGTTCTGACTGGACCAAATGGAAATATGCAAAGAGGCCAGAAGAAATGGCTTCTCTCCAGAGTGGCAGCCAAGAGGCTGACTCTACTATACCTGGTCCCTTCTTAAACACTCACACGCAGCAGCTCCGCCCATAGGCCAGATAGGTTTTGTCTGAGGCTGTGAAATCATCACCCAGTCTCCCTTGAGGGAAGTGCTGGGACCCTGTTAGAGACAAGGATAAGAAGAGAGGGAGGGAAGAGGTCCCTCTCCCTGATATGGTATGTGTCTCATTCACCACCAGTGATTTATATAATTGGAGACTCCCAAAGTCTCCCTTTTTAGAGAAGCAGAAAGCCCTTACTAGCCTATTGGAAACTGTTTCTTATACAAACGAGCAGACTAGAGATGATGGCCAGCAGCTCCTGGCCACTCTGTTTATGGCCGAGAAGCAAGACTGGATGCAGCTGGAAAGCAGGAAATTGGCTCTATGTCTGGGCAGTGGGACACTGCCTGATGCAAAGGCCTATATAGAACAAACCTTCCCATCTCCCTGACCCAATTGGGATCCTAATAAATATCAGTGAAGGCAAGAGTCATCATTGGGAGGACTAAGAGCAGCAACCAGAAAACTTGCCAACTTGTCCGTGGGAAGTCAGGTAATTCACAGGCCTGAAGAATCACCGGCTGGGTTTCTGGAAAAGCTCTGTGTAGCACACCATGTATTTATTCCCATAGACCTAGATGTCCACCCCCCCCCAACCGTCACTAATATTGCCTTTGTCCTGCAGATGGCCCCAGACATAAGAAAGCTTCAGGAATTAGAGGGATTTGGGGGGATGAATATGTCTTAACTTTTAGAACTTGCTCCTCAGAAATGTTATAGTAGCTCAGATTCAACTAAAGACAGACAGGGATAGGAACTTACCTGTGCAATAATCATTGGTCTTAGGGACCCAGACAAGAGAGGAAATAGGGAAAATAGACTAGAAAAAAGGGGGAAACTTCTGGAAAAGGACCAGTGTGCCTTTCATAAGCAGAAGTGTCAATGGAAGAATATATCTCCAAGCAGAAAAGAAAAAGAGAAGGAGAGTTGCCCCATACTCCAGTTGGCAGAAACTTGGTAGGGCCTGAGCTCCATATGACTTAGCTCCTGGGTGCCCAGGATGAGAGCAAGAGTAGGCAACAGAACTGTTAAATTTGTACTAGACACAGAGCAGGCCACTCTGTCTTGACAGTACACCTTGGACTCTCACATTCAGGAAGACATCAGTCAAGGAGCAACAGGTCAAACTGCCTACTGTGCATAGACAACCTCCAGGACCATAGACATAGGACAAGGCACTCTGACTTATTCTTTTCTGGTTATGCTTAACTGTCCATACCCATTGATTAGAAGGCACTCATAACAAAAAATCAGAGCCACCGTCTCTTTTGCTGACAACTCAGCTAGTTTAATTCTAGACGTGGGCCAAGCACCTAGCAATACTTGAGGGATTGTACACTAGGAATGAAGAGCTATCCTAGGCTTCCTCAGGAACTCAAAGCAAGGGACTCTGATGCTTGGGCCAAGGGAACTCACCAGTATTAGCAGCATACCAGCTGCCCATCCAGTTATTAAGTTCAGCAACTCTGGTGCAGGTCAAACAATACTCCATGATCTAGAAGGCCTAGAAAGGAATCATAAAACACATCACTGGTTGAGAGAGGCAGGAATTCCCTTGCTCCCTGTCCTGAAACCCAACACCAAGACTTCTGATGGGTACAGGATTTGAGGGAAGTCAATGAATGTGTGGCAACCCTCCACCCTACAGTACTCAACCCTTAACATCTTCATAAGCTTGTTGCCAAGCCCACCGCTTAAAGGAAAATGATACTTTATCCTGCTTGTGAATGGACTGACCTAGATATATTCATCAACTAACATGGGCTTAGTTGCCACAGGGGTTCAAAAACTCACCAACATTGTTTGATGAATCTCTGTATGCAGAGCTATTGGAATATAGACAAATCACCCTGCTCCAGTATGTTGATGGACTCTTAATAGCTTTGAACACTGAGGAAGAATGCAGAAGGCCTTTCAGAAACCAGTCCTGAGGTACAAAGCCTCAGCCAAAAGGCTTAACTGTGCATTCCTCTGGCCACATACCTGAGCTACAGTCATGAGAAAGGAAAGACTATGCTTTACAGTGACTGTTTCAGCCATCTTGTTAATCCCTGCTCCCACACTGAAAAGAAAGGTATGAATTCTTAGGGGTGGCTGGATATCGCTGGCTATGGATAATGATATTTACTGAGATAGCCAAGCCGCTCAACAGCACCTGCAGCTTGCAGCCTTTGAAATGGACTGAGACTGAGCAGAGGGTTTTTCAATCCTAGAAAGAGGCCCTAGTCCATCCCAACCCTGATCCTCCCAGACATTACTAAGCAATTTCATTTGTATTTGATGAGGCCAGAGACATTGCCAAGGGAGTCTTTGTGCATCTGTAAGGGCCATAGCTGCCACTGCTCTGCTGGCAAAAGAAGTGGCCTCTGCATTTGGGTCCATGAGACATCAACTCTCAATCCTGCCAGTCTCCCGACAGACAATGACCCCATGCATGACTATCTGGAGGTAACTGACCTGATCCATTCCATCAAGCTCAACAGGCATCCTACTGGCAACACCAGACAAGATAGAGGTATTACATAGACAGGAGCATTTAAGTTCAAGAATGGGATAAGATATGCAAGAACATTAGTAATGACCCAAGATAGGACTATCTGAGCACAGTCTTGGAGCAAGGGAACCTACACTCAATAAGTAGAGCTTTTATTTTTTTGTGGGAAAGACAAAGTTTTATCACCAATACACTGATCAGCAATATGCTTTGCCATGGCCCATGTCCATGGGATCTATATAGGGAGAGTAGATTGTAACTTGAGTGGGAGATCAAAAACAGAAATCTTAGTTTTATTGGAAGGTATCTGGTAAACTTAGAGGTATGTCATTGTCTATTGCAGAGGGCAACAAAATGGGGATTCCCTGGAAGCCAGAGGCAGCAGAGTGGCTGGCTTGACTGCCTGGGAAATGGCTCTAGAATGAGTGGGGCTTCTTCCAGTCTTGGTATCCCCGGCTAGGCCTGGTGAGATTGGTAGGGTTAAGTAAGAACTGGCCACACAGAATAAACATGGATGATGGGTACTCCCAGATAGCAAACCCATCTTTCTAGCGAGGCTGTGGAGGCAGCTAGTTTTGAATCTCCACCAAGTCATCCACTGAGGGGACATGAACACTGCTGAGCTCCTCAAACACAGCATAATGGTTTGAATGAAAATGGCCCACATAGACTCTTAGGCAGTGTCAGTATTAGGAGGTGTGGCTTTGTTGGAGGAAGTGTGTCATTGTGAAGGTGGATTTCAGGTTTCAAATGCTCAAGCCAGGCCTATTGTCACCCTTTCTTTTTGCTTCCTGAAGATCTGGGTATAAAACCCCATGCTCCTCCAGCACCATGTCTGCCTGCATGCCACCATGTTTCCTGCCATGATGGTAATAAACTAAACCAATTCACTGTAAGCCAGCCCCAAAAATGCTTTCCTTTATAAGCATTACCATCGTCATGGTATCTCTTCACAGCCAAAGAACACTGACTAAGATACCCAGGTATTATGTTCTGAAGTTAGAGGACCTAGTTAAAGATACCACTTTGAGATGTGCCAAAACAGGAAGGAAGATCCCACAAGGAACCTGGGCTTGAGAAGATGGGCCTGGGGAACATAGCAAGTCGAACTTTACTGAAATCAGGCCCACTGTTTTTGTCTATAAATATTTCCTGGTATTTGTAGACCCTTCTCAGGGTTAGTAGACACTTACCCCCACCCCAAAAGAGACTGCTCCAGTAGTTACCAAGAAACCTACTCAGGAATTAATTTCTAGGTTTGGACTGTGCCCAGCTTTGGGGTCTAACAATGGCAGGGTCTTCATTATAAAAGTATTTCAGGGATGGAGAGACAGCTGCATGTTTAAGAGTACTGACTGTCCTTCCAAAGGTACTGAGTTCAATTACTGCAACTGAATGATGGCCCACAACCATCTGTAATAAGATTTGATTTCTTCTGGCATGCAGGCAGAAGAGTGTATACATCATAAAAATGTTTCAACATCTGACAAAGATATTAAATATTAAGTGGAAACTACATTGTGCTTATAGGCCACAGAGCTTAGATCAGGTAGAAAGCATGAGCAGAACTCTCAAGGAGACTCTGAACAAACTAGTCCTGGAAAATGGTGAGAATTGGGTCAACCTCCTCCCCTCTGCCTGGCTTGACGTACTCCTTACCAGGAAGGGCTTTTTCTTTCTTCCCATCCTCCCCAAACTCCAAGATATTCCCAGGCAGAATTGTCTAGTCACTCCCTTCTCAAGTCCTTGCAGGCTTTGCAGGAAGCTTGCCAGACTGTAGACTGGACAGTGGAGGGAATCCTGACATCTCCAATTCCATCTAACCCACCAGCTCCAGCCAGGAGACTTGATGGGATGAAGAGAATCCTACCTAGACTTTGGAAACTGCCTGGAAGGGACCCTATCTAGTCATCTTCACCACCACAACTGTGACGAAAGTGGCTGGTATCATCCCTTGGCCTCTTTACTCCCAATTAAAGAAGCCTGCTGAGGATGAGGACAGATTATCCTCAGAACTATCACTGTCACTTGGACTTTGGAATCCTTAAAGTTAACACTTACTGGAGAACACTATGTTTATTCATTTCCTTCCTCTCTGTATGGGGACAGGAGCCTACAACCCTCAACTTCTCCCATCTGGCCTTGGGAATTAAGAATAATAGACACAGAGAAAGTGACAGTACCATGGATGGACAACCCTAGTTCCATATAGACCTTTGTTCTTTTAGGCCTGCTCTCTTTACTTGGTTAAACTACAGAAGGGATGGTTGTGGGGACTGTCCTTTGAGAGAGTTACAGAAAATTCAGTTCTACGTCTTGTCTAGGGCCAGGTAATGGGGGAATATTTCTATTGTGCCAAATGGGGTTATAAAATTGTGGCTTCCTGGAAGCATGGCAGCAACTATATACACATAAAAAGAGGGGTCCCTCCTAAATATTGTATGGTAGGGAACTGTAATCCTATAACCATAAGAATGATCTTGGGAAATAACATAGGGATGGTTACGTTCCATGAGATACTGGAAGAACTTGGGACATACCACTCTATTATGCTACAAAAAGAGAACCAGTGAATAAGTTTACCATTCAGAAGAAGCCACCACCTTTGGGTCCGTCTATCAATCCCAACAGAAACATACAGAGACATCATATACCCCCCAAGGGGAAAGACCCAACCCAACCAATGCTCCCTCCCATGAGATTGGCTCCAACCACTGTCAAAAGCATTACAGTCCTAGGCTCACCAGCACTGGAGCCCGGAATCCTTCTTCTACATTTTCCATCTTGACAAAGTTTGTCATTTGCTTAAATTAATTATTCCTATCTGGGAACTGGTCAGGACTGCTGGCAGTGCCTGAACCCTCAATCACCTTACTAGATAGACTAGAGACCAATCAGACCATTGATTCACCAGCAAGTAAAAAAAAAATGGACTGGGAGTACCCTAAGATAATGGGGAAGACGAAAGTGTACATCTTTCTTCTGAGCTTATAATGGGAAAAGCAAACTGCACTCAATCATTGTCCTTCTCCTGGTCGGGGCTGGGGCAACAGCCATAAGATCATTGGCCCTCAAAGTCAGCAAAATCTTTAGAGAATTAAGTAAACAAGTGGACCAGGACTTGGAGATATTGACATTAGAAGATTCCTTATCCTTATTCCTTATACTGCAGGAGGAAGTAGGCTATGGCAGAAGTGGTTCTGCATAATCAAAGAGGTTTAGATCTTCTCTTGGTGAAGCAGGAAGGATTATGCGTGGCTTTAGGAAGAACTGCTGTTTCTCTGCTAATGAGTCACATATAACTAGGGGAAGCTTTGCCATGGTCAGGGAAAACTCAAAAGAAAGGAAACAGATCGGATAATTGGTTTAGGTCTCTGCTGACCTGGTCCCCATGGCTAGCCACCTTACTATCATTATTAATGGGGTCTTTGATTCCTATCCTGGTCGGGCTAACAGTGGGACTCTGAATCTTCACTCGTGTGACCAACTCCATCAAACAGAATGAACTCAGTTAAATTCCTGGTCCTCAGGACCACCTGTGCCCACCTAGAACAGGGTGAGTCAACAGTTTTGCTTATGTTTGTAGACTCGGTGGAGAATGTGCAAGAAAGTGCAGAGGTTCCTCCATCTTGCATTCTTGATGGTCTCCTTGATGGCAAAGCCCATGAGAAATTACCCAATTCTACTCTAGGAACCCAGGTGGGACGTCTTAGTTAATTTATTTAATTATCTTATTAAAGACTACTTGCTTTAAACTGCTTAATCTGTGAAGTTCCCATCCTGCAGCTGCCAGAATATGGTTTCTGCCGTTAAAAACCCCATGTTCTGGACATTTGGAGGTAAACCCAGGTCCTGAACACTGTGGTATGATCCCTGCTGGCTGGAATAAAGACTTTCAGTTGGCTATACACTGTGAGTGGTCATCTCTGGTGGGCTACCCGTAACAGACAGATGAACAAATCATTTAGCATATCTCACCTTTCAAAAAAGTCATAATAATCTTTAGTTGT